GATTTCTTTGCAAGACCCCTTTATCCTTAGAACACAACTTACTAAGAATATACAGTCAGAGTACTGTTTTCAAAGTTACTTGAGAGCTGGACATGGTGGCTCATGCCTGTAGTCCCGGCTACTCAGGAGGCTGAGAAGGGAGGATTACTTGAGGCCAGAAATTTGAGACCAGCCTGGGCAACATAATGAGATTCCATTTTTAATATCTGAGAAGTAAAAATAAACCCAAAGGTTACTTGAATTACTCTTTTCCATACCAAACACAATACCTGATGACCCATGCTTAGTGTCTTTAGATTCTAAAGAAAAAAAGGGACCACAAGAAATCTAAACTTTACTTCATAGATGTATAATTTATAGTTATATTGGTATTGGAATTCTAAAGCTATTTTATGTACATTGTAGAATTTTAAAATATGCTAATTCAATAAGGAATCAAGATTTTCCATTTTCAATGTGGCCATGTAGAAGAATGTTCTTGGTTTTAGAAGGTGCCTATGAAGTTTTTTTAGTGGTTTCATGATGTCTACAACTTTCAGATGGTTCAGAAAGAAATTATGTGAGAAAGATAAAGAGGATAAAATATGAACAATTGATGAATCTGGTTGAAAGATAAACGGTGATCATTGTATTATTCCTTCAGTTTTTCAAAGTACAAAATTTTCAGGAGAAACATTTTAGAATAAAGTAATATATTTACTTTTTTGGAATTTTTAAAAACGTATGTTTTTCTATTTAACTCTAATCAGAAACACATCATTTATATCAGCAAAATGAGCTAGATTATGCTTCAGTAAGCAGCAGTATCAAAATAGCAAGGGCTTAGAAAATCAGAGGTTTATTTCTTACTTATGTGATATGCCCATTAGAGTCAATATAGAAAGTCTGTTAATCATACTACAATTGTAGAGTCATCTCTAACATTGCCATTCTCCATGCAAGATGCAAAAACCAGCCATGGAGAGTCTCTCACAATTAAAATGCTTGACTGGAAATGACATGTACAGCTCATTAATCACATGACCCAACTCACCCCTAGGGGGAGTCAATGATTTGGAAATATCAGATGATTAGTGTTAATGACTATCACTCCATTCATTTGTTGTGTGTTATGCCACGGTAAACACTGATAGATGCAGTAAATTAATACAGGGTATGTAGTGGTCAAAAGCAGATTCTGCAGCCAGATTATCATAGTTATAACTCAGCCACTTGCTTGCGAACCTTTGGCACGTTATTTAACCTCTTTGTGCCTCGATTTCTTCCTGTGTAAAAATTGGGTCTAATAGTCGTAACTGGGAAAAAAAATTTGGTGAGTTAATATACCAAAAGCATTTAACAATGGCTGTCATTTACTATCAGCAGCATCATTATTATTCTAAAGTATGAAACTCATACTTGATGCAGTAAGGAAATTTCTCAATGTTTTTCCCACAAATCAAGCAGTACAAAGATTTACAGTGAAAAGGAAGTTTCTCTCTCACATCTGAGCCTCATCATCCAGTTTTCCTCCCTAGATACGACTGCGACCAGCTGTGGCATTTATGAACCCATTGCCTTTCTGTGCCAAACGCACCCTTCTTTTCTCTGCTTGAGATACTGAAACATCTTTCCTTTCCCAGCTGACACAGTGTTAAGTTTGCTAGAAGGCCTGGAGGGACTCTGGAAGAAAAAAGGGGATTCTCTTCCTTCCTGATTCTCGTAGACCTTCTGCTCTTGCTCCTGTGGTGCTGGGCTGGTATGTGAGCGACGCAGTGATGGAGCTCACACCAACAGGTTTGGTGGGTGCCCCAGCTGGTTTCCCTGTGACCAGTTCCTCAACGGTCCTGCAGCAGCATCCTGGAAGCTTTCCAGTGTGTCCCCACAGTGGCCCAACCAGTTTCCCACAAGTTCAACGCACTCCCCGTGGGCAGTTTCCCCATGAATTTTGTCAGCACCCCTCAGCCATGGATTTCTTGCTTGCCAGCCTCAGCCTGATGGTTCCCCCGTGGGGGAATTTGCACCTCGCTAGCCCTGGCTTATTACTCCCAACCTGTCAACTGGGGATCAGCTCTGACCTGGAGCAGTCCAGCAAAATGCACATCCAGAGGGCTGCACCCTCTCCCAGGAAGTCTGGATCCAACCTTGAGGGACACCCCTTCCAAGCTCATTTCTTCCTGGGGTACTCTTTGTCAGCCCTAGGGTATTGTTCAGAGTTCTCTTAGTGTTCCTTTTTAGTAAATTCCCTGTACATAATCATTCTTCATATGAAACCTTCTGTATTCAAATTATTTGTGGTTTCTGTCCCTGAATCTATCCTGACTAATGCAGCTACTTCCTATTGTAGTCTTCCAGAGATTTTTTTATGCCTACGCAAGCGTATGTGTGTATACACACGCTTTTATTATGTAATAGGAACACTTTATACACAGTCTTTTTTTTTTAATTTTTTTGAAAACGGGGTCTCTTTCTGTCACTGCAACCTCGAACTCCTGGGCTCAAGCTATCCTTTTGCCTCAGTCTTCTGAGTAGCTGGGACTACAGGTGTGTGCCACCATGGTCAGCTAATTTTTAAATCCTTTGTAGAGTCAGGGTCTGGTTACGTTGCCCAGGCTGGTCTCGAACTTTTGGACTCAAGTGATCGTCCCACTTCCGTCTCCCAAAGTGCTAGGGTTACAGGTGTCAGCCACTGTGCCCAGTCACATGTTTGTTTGTTTGTTTGTTTGTTTGTTTTTAAACTTAGCTATCATTGCATATCAGCAAAAATACATTTATCTCATTTTTAGCAATCGTATAGTAGTTCATTGCATAAACAATTCCATAATCTATTTCACCAGTTTTCTATGGATGGGGAGATAGATTTCCAGTCCTTTCTTTCCACAGTAGAATTCTTATTTGATAGGTTTGTATGCCCATGTGCAACCATATCTTATCTGAAAAATTCTTCCTGTAAAAGATTCTACTCTTAAATTATCTCCACGTTCAATGCCACCACCATATTATAGGTGTTCCTCATTTATAAAAGATGGATGTGTAGTATTTTTTATTGATTAGAATTAAGAAAGCATTTTTATACATTTTAATTGTTTAAAGAACATATAAAATCAATGAAAAATATATCCCAAGGAAGTGCTTCAAGACAGGCATGCCCATGCGTATATTCACACAGAGAAACTTAACTCTGTGTGATCCTAGAACACAAATCTCTTCTTGAGAATCCTTTACATGCTTTTTAAAGTTATACACATTTAAAGTTAATAATACTTGTGCCAAATTGGCCTATGCCTCCATTCAAGTTACTATAACAAAATTTTTTTTTTTTTTTTTTTTGAGACGGAGTCTCGCTCTGTCGCCCAGGCTGGAGTGCAGTGGCCGGATCTCAGCTCACTGCAAGCTCCGCCTCCCGGGTTTACACCATTCTCCTGCCTCAGCCTCCCCAGTAGCTGGGACTACAGGCACCCGCCACCTCGCCCAGCTAGTTTTTTGTATTTTTTAGTAGAGACGGGGTTTCACCAGGTTAGCCAGGATGGTCTCGATCTCCTGACCTTGTGATCCGCCCGTCTCGGCCTCCCAAAGTGCTGGGATTACAGGCTTGAGCCACCGCGCCCGGCCCAAAATATTTTTTTGAATATTTTAAAAAAATAGTTTTCTTTTCAAATTGTAACTTGTGGTAAAACATAGAAAAATGTACTAAACAAGCTTGTATAAAACAGTAAAATGTTCAAATAAGCCCAGGGAAAAAGCACAATGCTGGAAAGAATGCGGTACAAGGGGAGAGGAGAAAAGATTTCATACAAAACTACCTATTACAATACAGAAAAAAGTATAAAATGTTCCTACTTTGGAACTTAAGTACAAAATGACACTGGCATTGGATCACTTCACTATCTAAGCCTGAGGAGCTCTCAGAGGGTGGGGAGAGATGCTAGAAAGAAAAGGAATAGCAGTTTTAAAATCTCAAGTTGATCAGTCCAAATTCCACCCGTTTTTTTTTTAGCTGAAAATATCATCCCCCTCTGTAACCTCTACCCATATGGCAAAGTTCATCCAGGCCTCAAAATATTCCATTAGGTAGTCCACAAACACCCTACTCATAGGGGCTGGGATCTCTGTGTGCTGGAATTTGGAAAATGGAAATAAATCTACAGGCTAAATGGTGAACACATTCAGTCTTTAAAAAAGAAAAAAAAAGCATATCCCTGTGAAATTTTATACATATATATATGTATATATATATGTATACATATGAAATTCTCTGTAGTTAGAAACATATTTAAACTAGCCACAGACCAAACTAGACCTGCATTCATCCAACGCTGGAATTTTATGCTAAATACTAAGGTCCTTCTTCTTGGTCAGAAGCAGGCAACAGTAAAAGTGGTGCTTTGTTGTGCCACTGAAACCGCTCCCTGGGTGGGTCTTCCCCATATCATGTGTTGGTAGCACATGCAAACCCCTGCTTTTAAGGAAAGGACTGCTTGGAACTTTGGGACCTGTCCAGGGCTCATGTGCTGTGCCTCGGGATAGGATGAAGCTACAGATGATAAAACAGCTACGTATAAAAGCAGGTGGATTTTGTATAGGGACATATAAATAGGAAAGGTCCTGGAGGAGGGGACTTATGCCTGTGCCCCAAAATCCAGTTTACAGTCACATTCCTGACTATACATCATGAAAATTGTGTGTGTATGTGGTGTGTGTGTATGTCCATGTATATGCTGGTGGTTTTTATCCCTACCTTTTGCCCATGCCCTTTCCTACTTCTTAGTAAGGCCTAACAACAAGAATTTATATGAAACCAAGATTCTTTCCAGGCTCTTCTCAGTCCCATAATTAGGGACTGAGTGAGGCTGGAGCCCTTTGAAAACAAGATGGCAGAACCGAAGAAGTGAAAAGCAGTCTCTCTCTTCAGATTAGGGATGTCCCTCACCCCTTTCCCAGCACCAAAGTTTCTTTGCAAAAATAGTATCTGAGATACAAAAGGAAAGGCAGATGTGCTTGTGAATGCATCTCACCAGGGCCTGGTCCAGGATCAAGGGTGCTACAAGAACAGAGGGCTGGGAGCAGCTGTTTCCAAGGCCTCTGGCTGTAGACAACAAAGAGCTGGTCCCCCACATGGTCAAGGTCTGCTAACTGAGACAGTCTTCACAAGAGTTTTCGGTGGAGGATCTCCCAGACCATCCGCTTCCGGAAGTATGGCATGTGTTGCTGTGTGAAGTTGATTGGTCTGTCTTTGGTAATACAGTTAGCATATTTGCAGGCAAACATCCCATAGTCACTTCCATTCATCTGCTGTGGAATTTCCTGGCTTTTCTTGCTGAAGAGCTGCCAGCCATTGGTGTCAAACTCTGTCTTTTTCTTGTCAATGTTTTCTTGCTTTAGGTATTGCAAGAGAATTCTGCAGGCTTCATTGTTTATCCCACCCATAGAGTCGTAATAGGTAATATTCTTCTTTCTAAAGTCCACAACAGCTAGACACCAGTGCACTCCCAGGTGAATGGGCACCAAAAGAATGTCAACAGAAAATACATCTACTTTCTTTGTCCAAAACGGCCTGATAACCAGCCGTTTTTAATTTAGTGAAGAAAAACATATTAAATGCATGCACACTTGGCAAGCCCTTCTCTTTACTTCGCTCCATCAGCATATTCATGTAGAAATTGATGATCTCATCATTGAGCCAATTCAGATGGTTTAGAGTTTGAATATCTTTGCGTGTAATGGTCAGGCGAAATGCTTCACTGAGAACTTCATCCTTATTCCCATTACGAAATACATTCTTTATTTCTTTCTCCATTTCCTGGTTTTGAAGCTGTAAGGCCAATGCTTTCTGTTTTTCAATGTGGCGCAATCTTTCTCGTGCTCGAGAATCATGAACACTAGTTAATTCTTTGATCCACAGCTCTGCCTGGAAGAAAGTAGAACTGGGAGTTGGAGTCTGGGAATCTTTCACTTTCAGTAAAATCACAGAGTCTGATCCTTCAGATTGTGTATTTGAAGCTGCTAAGTTATCTGGCTGATGTGGAACAGAGTGGTGATGAGGGGGTTGATGAAGAGTATCAGAATCTTTGGATCCAAATGCAACAACATCTGGGGTATAAGAAGAGAGGGAATATATACTGTGGGACAGCTGTTCCTGGTTAGTTAAAATGCTGGCAGATCCAGATGATGAAGTATCAGAGCCAATGATCTGAGATGCACAAGAGTTTCCATTTTTAAATAGTGAGTCTTTCAAAGTATTTTTACTGGAACTAAAACATTGAGACAGGTGTAAAGGAAAATGTGTGGTAGGTTTGGCTATAGAAAACTGTTTCCCTGTGACCATCTGTAGCAGCTGTCTGTAAATCTCTCTTTCTTCCTCTTGAACTGTCTCTTCTGCTGTACTAACATGTCGCCTCTGAGTTTTCTTGGGGCTCAAAAGGCTTCAACGACATGAACCACTCCAAGACGGACTTGGAACAGGTTTAATAGGGAAAGATTTTTCATATGCAGATACATGGCAGTGATGGTTTGACTTTCCCGCAAAAATGTTTGATAATCCACTTGAGGTCTTTCGGGTTTCGAGGTAAAGACTTCGGCTGTTTCTTGATTTCTGTAAAGATGAGCTTGATGATGGAGTAGAATTTCTCCATTGGCCATTTGCACTCTGGCCAAAGGTTCTTAAGTCGCCTGAGCCAAGAAAACTGTCTGAGGAAGGATTATCTGAATAATAGCTTGGATTATAAGCTGCACTTCTTGTGGAACATGTAAAAGATCGGTCCAAATGTCCTTGCCTGGAAGATAAAATCCATTTCAAGTCTTTTCACATCACTGACTTTAGCAAAGATACAAAGTCCGAACCGGAACCGGCTGCCATGCGAAGGGGTTTCCCGCCCAGCGCGGAACGCCACAAAATGTTTTAAACCCACTAATTTACAAAGAACAGAAATTTATTTCTCACAGTTCTAGAATCTGGGAAGTCCACGATCAAGACATCAGCATATTCAGTATCTGGTGAGAGCTGTTCTCTGCTCCATGGATGGCACCTTCTATGTGTCCTCATGTGGCAGGAGGGCAAGGCAGCTCCCTTCAACCTCTTTTATAAGGGCATTAATTCAATTCATGAGGCAGAGCCCTCATGACTTAATCACCCTCTAAAGGCCCCACCTCTTCATATTATTGCACTGCGAGTTAGGTTTCAACATATGAATTTAGGGGGAATACCAACACTCAGATCACAGTAGCCTCTAATGTAACAACATGAAAATGAACAAAAATATTTTAGTACATTCTGAATTACTCCAAGATGTAACTTGGTTCAGCATTTCATCCTTGCGGTAGTCACTTGGCTGTATCAGGTGCTATTCTCTCATATCGCTACTTCTTTTATTAGTGTATCCATCTTCTGATCACTAAAACATCTTTCACTTTTCCTATAGAATGTTTCCATTGAGTAAAATTTACACTTATAGGTACATGGTTTTGATAAATGTATACAGTTGTGTAACTACCACCAGAAAGATACTGTAGAAAGTATTTCCATGACCCCAGCAAATTCTATGTGCCCCTTTGTCATCAACCGCTTCCCCTACCCCAGCTCCTCGTAACTACTGATCTGATTTCTGCTCCAACAGCTTTGTCTTTTTCAGAATGTCATATGAATGAAGTGACTTAGTATGTAGTCTGACTTATTTCACTTAGCATAAAGCTTTTGAGATTTATCCATGTTGTAGTATCAGCAGTTCTTTCGTTTTTATTGATAAGTATTCCATTTATGAATGTACAATTTATTTAAGTATTTGCCAGTCAATGCTTCCAGTTTTTGGTGAGTATGAATAAAGCTACTCTAAATAGTCCTCTATAGGTCTTTATGTGAACACATTTTCATTTTTCATTAATAAAAATCTAGGAGTGGAACTGCTGAATTGTATGGTATGTGCATGTCTAAGTTTGTAAAATAAATAAATAAATAAAACAAAAACAAACAAAAAACAAAAACAAAACTGCCAAACTGCCTTCCAAAGTGTCTGTACCATTTTGCATTCCCACCAGCAATGAATGAGAATTTCTGTTGCTCCCCCTTCACATCAGCGTTTGGCCTTTATCTCTGATGGAATGACTGTAGTTGTCTCTGGACTGATCTCTTAGTCCTATACCTTCCAAACTCTAATCTGTCTTTCAAACAGAAACCAGAATGAGTCTCTAAAAATGCCCTCAACTCCTTAGTGTCTCTGACATCCTCAGGATAAAGTCCAAATTACTCAGCATGACATAGAGAAGATCCTTCAAGCTCTGAGCTCCATCCTCCCCCACCCTCCCAATCATATCTCTTGCATCCCACAAGCAGCTGGACACAGCTAAGCTTAATTGGCTCCAAGTTACAGCGGGTGCCACTCTTTTCTAACACAGTGAACCTGTGCTGGCAAGTGCAGTAGTTTGGACAGAGCATTTATTTTCTTCTTTGTATTCCCAAGATGAAATTACCCTCTGAATTCTGGAAAACATTGTCATTCATATAACTGAGCGTCTGCTAGGTTCTTCTGTTGCAACTACTTTTTACGAAAATTTCAGGAAAGTGGAAAAACTAGTACAATGAACATTCAGATTTAAGTTCAATAATTGTTAATATTTTGTCACATTTGCTTCATTTATCTATCTACCATTCTTCTCCTCCTCTTCCTCCTCCTTCTCTTTATTCTTTTGCTAAACCATTTCAGGGAAGGTGTATGTGTCTCCTAAAATTTAGAGCAACTCCTTCATAACACCATCATTACATCCAAGTTAATAACAACCTTCTAATATTGTCTAATACTGTCTACATTCATACATTCATATTTTTCCAATCATCCCCAAAATGTGTCTTACCATGTTTTTTCTAAACCAATATCCAATCAAGCTTCACACTGCATTTATCTACCAGTGAATATCTAGCTTTTTTAGTTTATTTTTATTTATTTATTATTTGTGTGTGACAGGATCTCACTCTGTCACCCTGGTTGAAATACAGTGGCACAATCACGGCTCACTGCAGCCTCATCCTCCCAGGCTCAAGCTATCCTCTCACCTCAGCCTCCCAAATAGTTGGGACTACAGATATGTGCCACCATGACTGGCTAATTTTTAAAAAAATTTATGCAGAGACGAGGTCTCGCTATGTTGTTCAGACTGGTCTCTAACTCCTGGACTCAAGTGATCCTCCTGCCTCGGTCTCCCAAAGTGTTGCGATTACAGGAATGAGCCACCACACCTGGCAATATTTAGCTTTGATTGAGGCTCAGTTTACCCAGATACTTGCATCTTAACCGTGAAGACTCCGTTTTGTCCCCCAGACTTCCAAGAAATCTCACTTGAACTCCAGCTCCATTCAAGGTTCCTGTGTCTTTCAAAAAGCCTATGGTTAAATCTATTGGATATTCAACACTTTGTATTACAAATTTGTTGTTCAACTTTTTTATTTCCTCAACTAGACTCTGAGCATTTTGAGGGAATGAGTGTTCTTTGCATCAGTCATCATGTGTCTTCATGTAAATGTTCAATACACGTTTTAAAAATAAATGACTGAATACAGTTTCCTGCTCCCCTACTATGAAGAGCTTCAATAAATAAATCAATTCTAGGAGGCAGGGAGCCAGTCAGAAGGGAGTAAAGGGAGGATTCAACAATGGTCTGAGAGGACATTTCAAATACAGGAAGCTGCTTTGGAGAACTTTGAATAGAAATAGGAATACTCTTCTCCCTGTCTCAGTAGGGAAAAAGCTTAATGTTTATCATTAATTAGAGATAAACCTGGAATCTATTGGCACTATGAACATTTTGGCCAGATAATTCTAGAGAAAGGATTATAAATACAAAATTCAGGAAAACTGCATCAAAACAGCACACTTCTGTTTACACAGCTGCCCTGCCATTGCTTTTCTAATGTGTTTTTAAGCAAACATTCACTCCCAGTGGGTCCCTAAATTGGACCCAGACCAGTGCTTTATGCCCATGCTCCATGGAAGAAATCACAGTTTATCTACTTTAAACTCTGAAGGTGAGATTTCTCCCTGAATATTAGCCTTTTCTGCTGTTAAAAAGTCATATTCATGGACAATTTCTCTTTTGGATAAACTTTTTTTTCAGGTATTTCCTTCTTCCCCACTTCCCATCACCTGTGGGGCTAATTCCAGGATCTTATATTAACTGATTTCAAAGTGAAGTGACTCAGAGACTGCATACCACGACTATTTTAGGTGGAGTCTTTCCTCCTGAGTCACCCTGTCCCCTGGTAGCAGGCATCCTGCGGATTTCCTCAACTCTGCTGTGGAGAACAGGAAGCCAAGGCCAGAAGCAGCCAAAAAGCAAGGCATCCCAGTGGCTCCTCCCAGTTACTGGAGGACCAGCAAGAAAACCCTGATTTAGTAAGAATTCTTTGGCAAAAAAATCAAGAGTTTACCGGAGGCAAATGGCTTTAAGAATGTTATTTATGAGCAAACATAGTTTTTTTTTTCCAGTGGCAGGTTAAAAGTGTTTTCTTAGAAAGGAAATTAAGTAAAATGCTGAGTTATCTGAGGAGACTTCATTAGCTATTTTCACTAATAGGGTAACCAAAGACAAATAAATTACTCAACTCCCTTTTCAACAATTTTATCAAGTTTTCCAGCCAGGAATATCCTCTTCATTCACTTCTGTCATTCTTCCGGAACCATCTTCCAAATAACAATTGGTCATGTACTTTCTCACCAAGCCTTCGTAACTACCTGTGACATGATACCATCAGTAGAGACATCATTTGGGGCTGAACAAAGACTAGGGAATACTAGCCATGCATGTTGTTCTTCTCTGACCCCATCCCCACAGCAGACATCATTCATCTATCTAGCTAATCTGTATATCTCTCCCACTGTAACCAGTGTGCTTTCAAAATAGCACTGTAGGAAGCTACTACCAAGGAATCAGAACCTCCAAATTTGAAACCAATTTACAATGAAGAAGAGAGGGGTAATGCACAGCAATGTTATCAGGCAAGGGTGAACATGGTGGAATAGTATAAAGAACGTGAAAGTCACACTTAACTGCTAGTTTCTGAGCAAGTTTCTAAATTTCTTTTGTAGAAAAATCCATGTTCTACCCAAAAGACACGTGTATGCTCATCACAGCACTATTCACAATAGCAAAGACATAGAGTCAACCTAGGTGCCCATCAATGGTAGATAGGATAAAGAACGTGTGGTAGACATACACCGTGGAATACTAGGCAGCCATAAAAAGGAATGAAATCATGTTCTTTGTGACAACGTGGATGCAGCTGGAGGCCATTATTCTGAGTGAATTAATGCAGGAACAGAAAACCAAATACCTCATGTTCTCACTTATAAGTGGAAACTAAGTATTAGGCACTCATGGACAAAAAGATAGCAATAATAGACACTGGAGACCACCAGAGTGAAGTAGAAGGAAAGGAAGGACTTTAAAACTACCGACTGAGTACTCTACTCACTACCTGGGTGATGGGACCATTTATGCCAAATGATCCAAAACTTCAGCATCATGCAACATGCCCATGTAACAAACTTGTACATGTACCTTCTGTATCTAAAATAAAAGTGGAAATTATTTTTTAAATATCAATAAAGTAAAAAGGACAGTTTTTTTTTCTTACATCCATTTTTTATACATGCAAAATGGGGTTAATAATGCCTTTAGTGTTATTGTAAGAATTCATTTTTTGGCTTTTTGTTTCTAATGCATGTGAAAACTTCTAGCACAGTGCCTCCACATAGAAGATATTCAATAGACGTCAATTTATCATAGTTAATTGAAAGGAGACCCTGACTGAGAGTGACAGTTCGCTTCACTGACACTGAAGATTCCTGGGAGCCACAGCATTTTTACAAGGCAGAAAATGCTCAATGATTCTGCTCACCACAAACGTTAACAAAACGTAATCTTAGTCACTGCTCTCCAAAGAGCAAAATATTGGCAATAAAAAGTTTTTTTAAAATCAAATCACAATTAAGTTAACCATCCTTAGAACCTTGCAAGAATGTCTGGTAGAACACAGTTACTTCTGGGTTTCCTGGTCGCCAATGACCCCCTTCAGCGATTATTCTGCCCCCACCCCTTCTTAATTCTTGTTTTGGTGCCTGTTAGAACCTCTACGAGACAAGGTTTCACACTGAGGAAAACTAAGAGCCAAATCACTTTCTTTTTTTTTTTTTTTAAACTCTTGTTAAAAATTATTGGGAAGGGAAGTGGTGACTGCTGGTTTAAGAAACTTTAAATTTCAATGCTAGATGATATTTCCATCTCCCATCTGCAGTTCAGTCCCCCTCAAGATTACTTTCTTTCATTCCTTGAAGAGTCTAGCGCCTGGCTTTCTAAGTGTAGTCATTCTCTCCCAAATTGACATTATCTAATTTTTTATTTTAGTATTCATTATAAATGATCATTCCAAATACACTGCTCTTTCTGTTCCTTTTCATCTGTCATCTTGTCCTCCACCTCCCTATGCTACTCACTCCTAGGGTCACACCTTGTGTCAGTCTGCTAGGACTGACATAACAAAACACCACAGACTGGGTGACTTGAACATAAGACATTTATTTTCTCATAGTTCGGGAGGCCAGAAGTCCAAGGTCAAAGCAGATTTGTAAATTATGTGCCAAATCTTTGTTGGCAGATTGGTTTCTCCTGGGGCCTTTCTCTCTTTGGCTTGCAGATAGCGCCTTCTCACTGTGTCCTCACAAGGTCTTTCCTCTTTGCACCCCTGGAATCTCTTTGTGTGTCCAAATTCCCTCTTTCATAAGGGCATCAATCTGACTGGATTAACCCCACCATGCTGGCCTCATTTTAACTTCACCACCTCTTTAAATGCGCTATCCAAATACAGTCACATTTGAGATTATGGGGAGTTAGAGCTTCAACATATGCATTTAGGAGAGACATGATCAGCCCATAACACACTTCCAAACTTTTTCTTCACCTATTCCTGAAACATCTCTAAAATCTCAAATTCCAGCATCACACTTCTCAATCACTACCTCCTCTCTTTCTAGCTCGCTGTGTTACCTAAAACCAATAATTTTTCAACCACACTGGGACACACAATTTACAAATCCAGTGCCTCTTTTACTATTATTTCTCACACTCCCTCACATCCTTACTTCCCTCCTTATTCAGCTGAAGTTCCACAGTCCATCATTGTAACCATTCACTTGCATATATTCTTGAATCCTTTGCCCATCCCTCTCTTCATGGTATCTGCCTGGCAAAGTCCCAATCCAGGTTGACTCCAGCTTTCTTCCCACTTGCTGGCTATACCTCTGCCACTGAATCTTACTAGGAAAAACACCCAAGTCTCCTGTCTAGTCTCACTATCCATTCACGGTCACAGACTCAAGTGTCCCTCAGCACCTGCCACATTTCTCTAGTCTGTTCACTCTCCCACTTTCCAAGCCAACTGTTTGAACCTCTCTTCTTTTAAACCTTTAACCTTCTCTCCCCATCCTCATTCTCAGCTGATAAAATTCTCTCCTGTTTCACTGAGAAAACAGAAGTATAATAATGAGAAGTTTCTGCTTACCACCTCCAAGCCCATTGCTATGTCCTCCTTCTGTTGCTGACACTGACCTGCCCTGCTGCCATCTAAGGTCAGCTCCTCCGTCTATGCACACACTCCCACCCTTTCTCACCTACTCAAGGAGCCTGTGCCAGCAATTCTCTCCTTTATCTCCTTTACGGTAAATACCTACCTCCCCTCCCTCATCCCCCCTCCTATAACAGTATACAAATATGCTACAATTTTTTTCCATTAATTTTTCCCCTTGGCTTCTACTTTTCCTCTAGCTGCTGCCCAATTTCTCTGCTCTCCTCTACAGCAAAGCTCTGCAGAAGAGTTACCTCTTCTATTTCCAATTTCTTTCCTCCCATTCTCTCATGAACCCACTCCAGTTGGACTCTCATCTCATCTCTAACTCACCAAGAAAGCTCCTGTTATCAAGGCCAGCAGTGACCTCCACATTGCTCAACCCAGTAGCCGATTCTCAGTTCTTTCATATGATGTGTGCTTTGGCAGCATTTAACTTAGTTGATCATGCCTTCTTCTTAGAAAGTCAACTTTGAGAATAAGTTCCTGATCTTCATTTCTGACTCACTGGCCATTTCTCAGTATCCTTTCTGCCTTCCTCTCATGTCCCCAAACTCGGTCCTGGGCTGTCCAGGATTTAGTCCTTGGGCCTCTTTTTTATCAACATGCATTTCCTTAGTGTCTCATGGCTTTAAATACCATTTATATGCTGACAACTGTCATATTTATATGTCACCCAGACCTCTTCCTTGAACTTCATATTTGTATATCCAGTCACCTAGTTGACATCTCCACTTGGATTTCTAAAAGGTATTTCAAAACTTAGTACATTCAAAACTGACCATGTCATCCCTCTTCTCCCAGCCCTGCTCAGTCAGCTGACTTGCTCACTTCTGTTAATGACAATTTTATTCTCCCAGTTTCTCAGGCCCAAATTATGTCGTCTTTGACTTCTCTCTTTCTCTTACACCCACATCCAATCTGCCACCAATCTTGTTGGCACAAGCTTCAAAATATATCCCAAATCCAGCTTCTTTTCACCACCTCTGCTACTACTACCATCATGATCCGAGTCATCATCATCTCTTACCTGGATGGTGGAAATGGCTTCAGAACTCATCTCCTTTATCTCCTCCACACCCTTTACCACCTATTTACAACACAGCAGCCAGAGTGAACCTTTTAAAACATCAAGCACAGTGCCTGCCACATAAGCGATGCTCAATGAATACTCAATCAAAAATATTATTCTCTTCCCAATCATCCCAGGAACTCTAGTAAATATGATTTTATGCTGCTTCTATGTGACTGGAAAAAATGTCTAATGCCCAGATTTTTTGATGCACTTAGATCAAAAGCATTAGAGGGAAAAAAATCATATCCACAAGGGGGTGCCAAGAAACCTCTTTGGAACCTGAACTGCTAGTTTCTTTCTTTTTTGAAACGGAGTCTCATTTTGTCACCCAGGCTGGAGTGCAGTGGAACGATCTCGGCTCACTGCAACCGCCATCTCCCAGGTTCAAGTGATTCTCCTGCCTCAGCCTCTGGAGTAGCTGGGATTACAGGCGCCCACCACCATGCCCGGCTAATATTTGTATTTTTAGTAGAGATCGGGTTTCACCATGTTGGCCAGGCTGGTCTCGAACTCCTGACCTCAGATGATCCACCTGCCTCGGCCTCTCAAAGTGCTGAGATTACAGGAGTGAACCACTGCGCCAGCCCTACATTTGTTTTCTTAATAGTAGGGAAAATATACATTTATTTCTTTTATGATTTTTCAGAGAGGTAGAGATAATAGATGCAAACTCTTGGAAGGAAAGCTGTACTGATCTAACCAAGATATTTTGTTTTTCTCATCCACCAGTTCCCTTCTCAGTCCTTTCTGTATCCCTTGCAATTTGAACAAAGCTTGGTGAATAGTGAGCACATAAAAAGCATATTAGGTGAAAGACAGATACATAAAGAGGGTAAAGTCAGGACATTTTAACAAACATATCAAGCTCTAAATATAAGCCTCCCTGGTAGTTTTCTCTTTAACCCTCTCTCCACTGTTGGATGAAATTTACTACATTCAATCCCAGTCCCCACCCCAACTTCCTTCTTAACACAGGGTCAGGGTTAAGCCTTCAGTGCTTTAATCCAGAGGAAAATGACTTATTTTAAAAAGCAGTGAAAAACACCGCATTCCTTTGGCACAGGATGAAGACCAGCTCAGCTCTTCAGTTGTTGATCATTGTCTATTGTTCTCCAAACAGTAAACCACTATTTCACACTGAGATTGTCGGCTGCGGATATATTCCAATTCCCCGGCTCCTCATGAATATGAAGTGAAGGGCTCTGACCCTGAAAGTGGTAGGTAATCTCAAAAAACAAAAAACAAAAAAAAGAGAGAGAAAAAAGGTCAGGTAGGAAGAAGAAAACTAGACTTTCTGTGGCTGTATACTCTTGAAATCTCCCACAGGTTCTAAGCAGGGCAAAATGGGGTCTCGGAAGTGTGGAGGCTGCTTAAGTTGTCTGCTGATTCCGCTTGCACTTTGGAGTATAATCGTGAACATATTATTGTATTTCCCGAATGGGCAAACTTCCTATGCTTCCAGCAATAAACTCACCAACTACGTGTGGTATTTTGAAGGAATCTGTTTCTCAGGCGTCATGGTAAGTGTGACTTTGGAGACTTGGGAGAGAAGGGGGAGTTGTAATTGAGACTTACCTTGTACCTAGTAAAAATAATGAACAATGGAAAAATCATTTGCTAATCTTGGGTGTCGGATTTGAAAGAGGGATGGGGAGGAAGGGGCAGGTAATCTGCTAGGATTTGGGGCATAACTCTGTTTTCAATAAGCTGCTCAGCAATGTCGCTTCAGTAATGCAGGAAATTAGTCCTAATGAAAGTCTGTGGGACACTGGCCTGTAAAAAGAGTATGTTCTCATGAACACTGCATATCAATTTAAGCTATTTGATCTTCAATGGCATTACTGTTTTCTAGAACAGATTTTCTGTCTGCACTCATGTCTTTCTAGCTTGAATGGGCTTTAGGACAGCATGAAAAAAAAGCAGCAACTTGGATATTCAGACAAACCTGCATGTCAATCTAAGTTCTGTTGTTTGTGCCATGGAAATTTAGCACGTGACTCAGTATCTTTGAGCCTCAGTATTCTAATGTGAAAAATGTGAATAATGGCATTTTCTTTTCAAGATAAAATATATATATAGATAAAGTACCCAGGAGAGAGACTGACATGTAGTAGATAGTCAGTGACTGTTGTAATTATGATTATTAAAGAATGAGCTGTGTCATCATTAAATAATCCTACACTGAGACCCTAATAATGGAGGGAGTTTTTGAAAAGTAAATTGAATTATCAATGGTAAGAATCCATGAACGTTTTCCTGATGACTTTATGTTCTTTAAAAATAAACAAACTGATAGTAAATCATGTTGGCAACTCAGAGGAAAAGACAATTTCCTGGTCAAGTCATTTCTTTTTTTTTTTTTTTTAATTCTTTTTTTTTATTATTATAGTTTAAGTTCTAGGGTACATGTGCACAACGTGCAGGTTTGTTACATATGTATACATGTGCCATGTTGGTGTGCTGTACCCATTAACTTGTCATTTACATTAGGTATATCTCCTAATGCTATCCCTTCCCCTGTTCCCTCCCCATAATAGGCCCCGGTGTGTGATGTTCCCCTTCCTGTGTCCAAGTGATCTCATTGTTCAATTCCCACCTATGAGTGAGAACATGCGGTGTTTGGTTTTCTGTTCTTGCGATAGTTTGCTGAGAATGATGGTTTCCAGCTGCATCCATGTCCCTACAAAGGGCACAAATTCATCCTTTTTTGTGGCTGCATAGCATTCCATGGTGTATATGTGCCACATTTTCTTAATCCAGTCTATCACTGATGGACATTTGGGTTGATTCCAAGTCTTTGCTATTGTGAATAGTGCTGCAATAAACATACATGTGCATGTGTCTTTATAGCAGGATGATTTATAATCCTTTGGGTATATACCCAATAATAGTGCATTATGGACTGTAAGCTAATCAGACCACCAATAATGTAGAAGAATATTCATTATGATCTATTTCTACGTGTTTTAGGGGTGTTTAATTATTATATTTGAACAGCTATGTTGTAAAGCAATTTTCATTTAGTTATTCATTTTGCATATTAAATTAATAAACTTTAAAATATTAATATCCAATGCTATTGAAGCTGCTATGAAATAAGTACATAACTAATGTTGGCTGCACTACAAATAAGTGTCAGTCTTTTGGGGAAGAGTTTGGTGTAATATATCAAGATCCATGAAAATGCTTATGTCATTTGACTCAGTAATCCTATGTCTCATGATTTATTCTGAGGAAATCATCTAAAATAAGGAAAGAGCTATGTGCACAAATGATTGTGGCTGCATTGGTATAATAGCAAATAATTAGAAGAAGCATCTTACAGAGAAGTAGTGAAATAAATTATGGTACATTCACTTCATACAGTGGTGAAAATTATAATTATGAAGATGTAACAACATGGAAAATGCACATTATTTCAGGTTAAGTGAAAAAAGGCACAACAACGTTGTGGGTAAATTACTATTGCAGCTGTGTCAAATAGACACATGTAGGAAAACACCAGAAATAAATGCATGAAGACACACAAGGGTGGTGGAATTATGTGTAATTTACCTCCATTATTCTTGACTCCTCTATATTGCAGTTATATTTTAAAACAAAAAAAGAAGGCAGTGTCTCTTTCGACAGTTGATGCCTGAGCAATAAGACTACAGGCTCCAGGTCTAATTATCTCTATCAGTATTGTAATGAAGCTGGTTACTATGCTTTGGCCTTGTCTCATCATTGTTTCCCTCAATATGCAATTGCAATAGATGGAAGAGCTGCAAGACATAACTAAGATTAGACCCGAATTTCTTTCAGTCTGTCATAACTAACGATGTTGGAAGGAGGGGAATATAGGACTCTTTTGCTTATATTCCATGTAAAAATTAAAACTGGGAAAAGAAACCTGTTCTCTATTTTTTTCATTTTCCAGGAATTATTAAAATATATTACTATAACTGCATCAAATCCTTTTAGGAGAAAAGGAGAAGAATATAGGTAAATAATTAAATGAACAATAAAATTAATGAAAGCTGAAGAAATTTGGAAACTAGAAACATTGGCTACAAAGAGTAAAATAACAGTGAACTCAGCTGTAGGATTCAGTCCTGAATAGTAAGAGTAAAAACCAGGTGGAGAATTTCCCATAAGCAATTCATGGTCTGTATCTAGCCTAACCAGAGATTATAATGGTAAAGAAATACATGTTCTTTCCAGAGCTCTGGCCTTTTGCCTAAAATAAAATTTTAAAAAGGCAATAAGATGCATTGATTCTCCCACTTTGTTGGCTTGATACAGACAAAACACAGTGAAACAATTTAAACCTGAGATGGTTTGAATGCATGGGGAAATTGAAGTCACTTTAAAGAGATATGGTTTCAGGTTAACTGAGCCTCTCACCTGCATTCCCAGAGGACAGTAAACGAAGAGAGGTTGGCAAACTACCAAGCCTGCTGAATGATTTTCCTTGGTTCTCCACAACTGAGTCATTGAGAAAGGCAGGTTTTGCTGCCCAGGGTGGTATTCTCATGTCCATACCATTTACTTCTCCTTAATCATTAGCTTTCAATGGTTGCTAACCATGATAATGATAGCTAACATTTATCAGTCACTTACTATCAATCAACCACTATACTCAAAATGTCACATATATTACCTCATGACAACTTCTTGATACGATTTTATAGAGAAGGTGTTTCAAATTCACACAGCTAGAAAGTGGCAGAGCTTGGATTCAAATCCAGATCTACCTGACCCCAGAGTCTATGCTTAAAGTCACTGTCCTCTGATTATAAGCACAAATGTAAACAAGCATTTCATTACTAACATTTTATGTCTTCCCTCCTATAGATGCTTATAGTAGCAACAGTTCTTCTGGTACTGGAGAATAATAAAAACTATAAATGTTGCCAGAGTGAAAACTGCAGCAAAAAATATGTGGTAAGAGCAATAGTTTTTTGAGGATGGTTGAGTGGGTTCCAGCTTTCTTTCCTCTCACTCAGAAACACAAAAATATTGACAGTATTGTACCCTCACTACTGTTGAGTATGGTACAGAGATCAAGAATTTACTGCCAAGATCATCTTCCATTTTGCTTAGTCTTTCCTCCATCTTTGTTCTACTGATGCACTTTCAGAATATCAACATTTAAAGATATCTAAAATTAGGAAATCTTACTTTTTCCTAACTGAGTTTCTATTAGTCTATTTTCTCTTTATAAACTTTACTGAGGGCTAAATTACATATAATAAATAGCATCCATTAAAAGTATGCAATATCATGAGTTTTAACAGTTGACTATACCCGTGAAACCACCATTGCAGTCAAGATAACAGAATATTTCTGCCAATCCCAAAAGATTAACCGTTGATTTACTTTTTGTCATTATAGATTAGTTTGTATTTTATATATGTGGAATCACACAGGATTTGTCTTTTTTTATCTGTTTTTTTTTTCATCCAGGATAATAATTTTTAGATTCATCCATGTTGTTGGGTGTATGTGATGTGCATTTTTTAAGTTGGCACTTTAAAAATAATTAAAATAGTATCAGGAAGAATAATACAACCAAATTTTCTAAGCCAGTGCTCTTGCATTTCTACCATTCTCCTTATCCACTTCCTCCTCTTCATCATTATTCACACTTGCATAGAGAACCCACTCTACCTAGAAAATAACAGGTCTTCAATAGATAGTTGTGGGTTGATTGATCACGTCCTTCGGTGCATTTTCATAAGAGGTGATCATTATTTTGATATCATAATTCCAGAAGGAAAGAATAAATTTAGTAAATTACCTAGTTACCTCTATGTGATGCCAAACAAAATGTTATTTAAAAACTTATTTGTAAGATCAAATAGGTTTGCGTTACTTTTTTTTTTTTTATTTGTATGTGGGCATATAGTATTGTATAGACTGCATGAGCTTGGATGAATAGGGGAATGTAATTATCTGATAATTTATCCACAATATCCCCTTGTCATTGCATTCTATGGTACTAACCTGCTTCTGTGTTTTAATTTAGACACTGCTGTCGATTATCTTTTCTTCCCTTGGAATTGCTTTTTCTGGATACTGCCTGGTCATCTCTGCCTTGGGTCTGATCCAGGGGCCATATTGCCGCACCCTTGACGGCTGGGAGTATGCTTTTGAAGGCACTGCTGGACGGTAAGGAATAATTCCCCAAACCAAGGAGGTCAGAAAATCAGAAATACCTGGCCTCATGCTCATGCTCACGCTCATTTTCCATGATCACTTTGGGGTTCCATGTGGCTGTTTTAGTGCAGAATCTTCCTGTTAGTTTACTAACATCCAGACCAATTTGTTCTAGCACAGATCTTTGTTTAGATTTTTTTCTTCAGTCTTTTAATGCGATTTTCATTCAATGTCTTGAGGCTGTCATGGAGCTATCCAAATGAAAGGTGTGTTTCTCCCTACCTCAGATTAAAATCGTGTGGTTACTATGGTCTGATCTGGTAACAGCTGGAGCTTATGGCCTGGCTGGATCCAGGAACTCAGTTTTGTTTTGTGGCCAGTTTGGACATGTGGTCTGTTACAACTGTGAAAGGGCTTGGGAAGGAGAGAAACCATGGTGCTCTTGGATGGTGCCACTCAGGGCTATAGTAGGAGGGATGATAAAGAGATAAAACAAGGCAGGGTGAGCAGGAAAGTGCAGTCTGTGATCCAGGGACATGATTAGGTGCAGGAGTTTGTGGAATGAGCCAGAGCTTATGCAGTTTTTACTGGAGAAGTGTCTAAAGAGGTGGTCTTGCTCAGAAGGCTAGTAATTCAGTCAGGAGTCTCACAACCCAAACCCAGATCTCAGAATGCCTCACACTAGCCTTGTGCTGGGCTTATTGGATTCCCAGCACCAGATGCAGATTAGGAGGTAGCAGGGCCCAGAAAGAAATACAGAAGAAGTCCATTGAATCTCTCCTTGTTTTTATCCTGTGCTCAGAATTCTAATGGAGTAAAATGAGGGAATGTCTGTACCATTCACTGGGGGAAGTTATATTTTCTTCTCAACTCTCCATGATTGGCTTTATTGTTCAAGGCCTGTGTCCATCTGAGGTCTTACATGTGCATCTAGGCCTGCATGGCAGAGTTGCTTCTGTGCCTGTACCTGCCTTCATTCTGAAGATTTTTACAGGGTGCTACATACCATGACCTTTCTTAGCAAACATTAATCTCCCTCAGGTCAGGAAAACCTAGACAATAACCTCAGGCTTTCCTGAGAAATTGGAAGAGACACTCCTGGGGGATTGACGGGGCTCAGTAAAGAGGACCCTAATGTAGAAATTCCCACTAGGTGCGAAAGAACCCTTTTTAATGCCATCAGTCCCTGAACTTTTCCCTACCTCAGAATCAAAACTTCCCCTTTTAAGTCATGACTCTCTAGGCTGCCTGTATGCCCCTCCATTACTCCCTTAAGCTGCCCCGGAGGCTTGTTTTCACCTGTTTCCATCTATGTAAAAATGTTTAAAGGTGAAACATTGATAGGAGGCAACACAGGGAAGCTAAGTCTCTGGTCCCCTCAAGAAGTTTCCAAGGCTTGACAAATACAGTGTGGAGCAGGTGTTAATATTGAATTGTGCATATCAATTGTTCATTTGTGCATTTATTCAGCAAATATTCATTGAGCACTGACTAGGTCCAAGCCTTGCACTAAGTACTGGAGAATCAGAGGTAAATCACACAGAGTCCTTTCCCTCCAGAAACTCACACAGACCTGACAGAACATTCTACTGAGATGGAAACCTTAAGGTGAATGAACATTGCCATTGGAGTACAGGTCTTTGGTGGTTATAGATCGAGATTCAAGTCCCTCCCTCCTACTTATAAGCTACATGACCTTAGACAAGTATCTGGCTATCTTTGAGCCTCTGTAAGTTGGGGACAATAATCACTTCTACCTCATAGAATTTAGAATTAAATGGAAGTAATGGACAAATGTGATGTGATAAATTTTCAGGTTTTATTATTAACATTATTTCCCTATACATTCCTTTATGCCACATGACATTCCCCACCTGCCAGGTAGCCAGCAGGTTTAGTCACTGCCATGGTGGCTGGTGAGGATCCTGAGTTAGTTTTCATTCAACAAATACTTAACTGATCTTTACAATTTGTCAAGCGTGATCTTAGAGCTTAGACCTGGCAATTCAGAGTGAACAAAACATAGTCAGTGCTCTCAGAGTACACAGCCTGCTAAGGAAATAGAAATAGATGCAGATACAGATGCAGCCACAAAGAGATATACAGATACAGATAGAATTACAATGAATGAAGTAAATGCTGCCATAGAGCTGTGTGTGGAGGTAGTGGAGGGAGTGGGTGTCAGGGCAAGCTTCTATGTTCCTCCCCAACCCTGCCAGGGCACTTATGCCCCTCTGCAGTTTACAAGAAGGATTAAACAGTATCATAGTCTGGGAAAAAAACAAGAGCCTTGCAATATCGGGGGAACTCCTGCCAATATTTCAGTGTAGGTTCTTTCTATTTTCCATAAGTGTTGGCTGGCTGAGAAATAAAGAGAAAGAGTACAAAGAGAGAAATTTTACAGCTGGGCTGCCAGGGGTGACATCACATATCGGTAGGACCATGATGCCCACCTGAGTCTCAGATCAGCAAATTTTTATTAAGGGTTTCAAAAGGGGAGGGGGTGTAAGAACAGGGAGTAGGTACAAAGATCACATACTTCAAAGGGCAAAAAGCGGAACTACTAATAAGGGTCTAACAAAGATCACAAGGCAAAGGGCAAAAGCAGAACTACTGATAAGGGTTGATGTTCAGCAGTGCATGTATTGTCTTGATAAATGTCTTAAACAACAGAAAACAGGGTTTGAGAGCAGAGAACTGGTCTGACCACAAATTTACCAGGGCAGAGTTTCCCAACCCTAGTAAGCCTGAGGGTACTGCAGGAGACCAGGGCATATCTCAGTCTTTATCTCAACCACGTAAGACAGACATTCCCAGAGTGGCCATTTATAGACTTCCCCCAAGGAATGCATTCATTTCCCAGGGTATTAATATTAATAGTCCTTGCTGGGAAAAGAATTTAGTGATATCTCTCCTACTTGCATGTCTGTTTATAGGCTCTCTGCAAGAAGAAAAATATGGCTCTTTTTGCCCAACCCCTTAGGCAGTCAGACATTATGGTTGTCTTCTCTTGTTTCCTAAAAATTGCTGTTATTCTGTTCTTTTTCAAGGTGCACTGATTTCATATTGTTCAAACACACATGTTTTACAATCAATTTGTACAGTTAACACAATTATCACCGTAGTCCTGAGGTGACGTACATCCTCAGCTTACAAAGATAGCAGGATTAAGAGAGTAAAGACAGGTGTAAGAAATTATAAAAGAATTATTTGGGAATTGATAAATGTCCATGAAATCTTCACAATTTATGTTCATCTGCCACAGGTCCAGCTGGTCCGTCCATTCGGGGTCCCTGATTTCCTGCAATATTGCAAGTCATCTTGTTTTAAATTGCTAGATGATCTGTGCAGAGCATGTACTAGGAACAGTCTAGACAAGGGATCTGGAGGGACTCATTTCCCTGGCGGCTGAGATGGAGATAGGGGCCAATGGGGATATGAGATAGGTCTAGGGAAATTTAACAGAAAACCACATCCGTGTTGTACTTTACAGGTTCCAAACCACTTGTATACACACTCTTACCAAATATTCACAATTACTCTGTGGTTAGATATTTAACCCCATTATCAAGATAAGAGTCTGTAGGCCAGAAGGGTAAAGTTCTTTGCTTAACATCCTACAGATCCAGGAATTCTGATTTCATATTCAGTGCTCATTCCCATTGGAGACAAGAGCTATTGGCAATATAAAGTAATTCTCAGAGTGTCTCTATTTCCTGGAGCATTAGAAGGTAGGAGATAAATAAAGGGGCAGAAAGAGTAAAAAAGAAGGAAGTAGGAAAGAAATGGAAGAGGGAGAAAGAAAAATGGAGAGGCCATGAGGGTGGTAAGGCAAGCACAACATTTATAATAAACTATGTATCTAGCTCAGTGCTATGCATATAATGTGTCCAATATGTGTATCTGAATGGTTTTTAAAATACATTAATTCATATCTAATAACTATATATTTTAGTCACACAGTAATTTCTCAAACATACAAATACCTGTAGCTTTCTTCCTTGGACCCAGTATGTAGATTTGGCCATGGGTTTCTCTCAGTTTCCTTACAGATTCCAGCATATGGATTCAGTGCCTGGAACCTGCACATGTTGTGGAGTGGAACATCATTTTATTTTCCATTCTCATAACCCTCAGTGGGCTTCAAGTGATCATCTGCCTCATCAGAGTAGCCATGCAATTATCCAAGATACTGTGTGGAAGCTATTCAGTGATCATCCAGGTAACAGATTCTCATGGGCACCTGTAGCTCATCCATATTATCCCCACTTCCCAGGATTCAATGAGGCTTTCTGAAAAGACTCTAGAATTCCATCACTTTCCCCCCATTTCTATTGCCCTCATCTTTATTCAAGCTCTACTATCTCATTTTTTTCTGATATCCCAATGTGTCTTGGCTTATGTATAAGGGTTGAATCAACTCAGTAATTGTAAAATCTGCATTTCTTGTTGTATGGTAAGGCTTCATAAGTGTTTTGAATGAGCAATGTTTTAGTATTCTACATAGAGATAACTCAAAGCATGAAGAAATTTTACCATTTATCAAGAATTTCCCTGTTCATAAGATAAGCAAAGGCTCCTAACCTTATCTCATTGAAATAACTTCTCTTCTGAATGCTGCTACATTCAACTAACAAACCTTTATCTTGAGTGCATAGTGAGTGCTTTTGAAGAAGAAGGGAAATATGTATTTATCCTATTGAAATTACTTCTACTTCATCTGCTAAAATACTAACGTTAATTTAGTTATGGTTGAAACTGCTATCAACAAGTCCAGTGAGAAGAAAAATTATGAATGAGATCTCTTGTATTTTGTTTAGCAACATAGAATGTGTAATACCTTTCCTACAAATTTCTAAGAGATGTGTTTCTGTTCTATCATATTTTGAATATGAAATATAAGTTTATGTTGCTACCTGGGTTATGGATTACTAATCAAGCCAAGTTTATAACTTTAATCACTTTGTTTTTCCTTTTTTCCTATAGCCTGGAATCATTTGAATAAGGACAAAAATGTTTTCCATTATCAAGACATGGCCATCTATCTAAATATTATATCAACTGTGTAGACTTAAGGACAATATTGAAATGATGGTGCTTTCTCCATTTGGTGTTTATTTGTAAAATTTGCAGTCCTCACTGCACATGCAAGTATGCCACTCTTTCATTTAGAATGTTTTTTAAGCAATATGCATCAGGAACTTCAGAAATATTTCTGCCCTTTGATCAAACAAATCCATTTCCAAGAATCTATACTAGGGAAGTAAATAAGAATATGAGAGAAAACTTTATGCAAATATGTATATTGCAGCATTATTTAATATTCTAGAAAATTAGAAACACCTCAAAATTCTAAATTCAGAGGAAGGATTAAGTAAAGAGTGGTACATACTGTAAATGCTTTCTGATACTAAAAATAAAGTAAATAAAAAATAAAGAGTACTAAATGGTTGTAAAATTATAGTCATTACAAATTATGTTTTTGAAATTATAAATACTAAATCAAAAAACAGGTCACAAATTCATGTTTACAGTATAACTATTTAAAGCAAATGAAGCACTAATAATCAAAATTTAGGATGAAACTAAATCTAAAAGGAAATATAACAAAATGCCAATTATGCTTGGTTTGGGGCATTGATGGCCCTTCTTCCCACTTTTCTATATTTTCCAAGATTTCTTTATTGAATATGTTTTACTATAAATATTTTCTAAACTCATATTTTCACTATTAAATTTTTTTTATTTTTCCAAACTTTAAGGCATATGCTCTTTCCACATTCCTCAACATTATTTGCAAACATCATGAAATGACACTTCCATTCAACATTCAATGAGGAAAGTAGTGATATAGATAAGCCAAAAAGAGTTTTATATAAACTTATACAATCTAAACTCTTGCTCTTCCTTTCTGACTCCTAATGGTGAGTGTGATGGACTAGAAGAGGTAGCCTTAAAATAAGTGAGCAGCTAGGGAACATGCTCAATGGGCAAGAGAAAATGACCACTGACCAGTCAATACCTGTGTCGGGGGAGGTACCAGTACCTATATTTATTTTTAAAGTAATTAAAAAGTAGAACACTTACAAATTTTCCACCTATACATGCCATGACTTCCTCCGGGACAGTAGCCACATCTTATATTTTCCCACCATCCATAGGACCCACTACACAGTGGAGCCAGTAGGCACTCAGTGTTGAATGCTCATACCAGGTTTTCTGCTTCCTGTAGTTACGCTGCTGAACACCGCTTCCATCACAGGTGCACTGGGCCTCAACACTTCTGCTATTTCCCCATTTGTCTCCTCCATGGACACTGTCAACAATGGTCTGTCAACACCTGCTCTGTGCCAAAGCCAGGGAGTAGGCTGGGGGGATACGGAAGAGAATATCTTTCTCCTTGATGCCTGCTGCGCCAACAGCTGCCTTTAAGCCCTGTTTACAGCTTTTGCTGAAACAAGCATCTTGAAAGCAAGCCATGTTGTATACCACGTGACCTTCATGCTCTGGGACCAGCTGACTGAACTGGGGCAAGCCCCAGAGTCTTCGGCAGCCTATTGTCTTGCTAATGGCCTCTGACTTAGGATGGAGTAAAAGACTATCCAAGCAAGACTGGTGGTTATTCAAGCATGAGAATTTGAACTAGGAAGCCAAGAATGAAGCAACTGGAGTATTACCATCAAAAAGTGGTTAAAGGATGAAGAAGGAAGCCAATATTTAGAGAGAGTATCTGGTTCATTTTAATAACGGTATCCTATTAAAAGGAAGATATGTGAACTTCTGCTCCAAAAGTTCCTAAAACTGCCTTTGCCCACAGTGACAGTGTACACTAGGCCTGGTTTCTGTTCTTGGATTCCTAGATAGTCTTTCTTCTTTGTCACTGTGCTGATCATTTCAGTAAACCCCACCACTAAATCAGTGCAGCTCTGCCTATTGCAACCAAAATGACCGAACCAAAGTCTCCCTTTTCCAGATGTTGGGTTGGAGGGATGCTAAGACAAAGATGCTTAGGCTCCAAAGTTTTACGGAGCTTCATTCAATAACACTTTAGTTTCCAAAGAACTTAAACATGAGATCCGAAGGACTTGGGCCAGGAGACAAAACCACGCTACAAACACCATGTTGTACTCAGAGTGACCTCTCCTCTCTGACAGCCCAGGATTTCTCTATCAAGTCCGTAAGCTAGTCATATCCAGGACCATCTTGTTAAAGATTCTCCCAGAGTCTCCTCAGCCCTCTTGTAAATAGACTTCTGGAAGGTCCACCTCATCGGTTTGTCAGATATTTTCAGACTGTCTATCTCTTGTTTAGATTCAGCATGGCACCATACATTGAATGGACTATGAATAGATGTTTGCTGAATGACTCCAACACAGCATTGGACACATCAGGGGTACAGCCAAATGCAGCATGATATCTCTATCAGGAAAATTAAATTTTAACACAGCCACCAAATATTCTATATTTGAAGAGTATATGCTAATTATGCAATTTTAAGTAAAAAAAGCTGAATACAAAAAAGCTGAACACAAAAAAAGCTGAATATGTGTGTTTCATATCCTTGTGAATTCAAAGTAAAAAGGAAAAAAACTCAAAAACCAAATATATGTATACAGTTTGAAGCCAAATTTTTAATTAAGTAACCATATAATTACATGTAGACATGCATAAACCTTCAGATATGTAAAGACCAGAAAAATATTTAAAAGTTAATAGTTACATCATCTGTGGTCATAACACCCTGAAAATGCCTAATATTGGAAGCTTAAGCAGGATTGGGCCAGGTTATTACTTAGATGGGATACCAGATGCTATAGGCTGAAAAAAGAAAGCGTAAGTATATACAAGTTAATACTTAATAATTATCTCCTGATGATAGGACTATGAGTTAGTTATATCTCTTTTATTTACATTGTTCAGTATTTTCAAATTTCCCTTTGAAAATGTGTTATGTACCTGAATTATTAGAAAAAATAAATGTCATTTAAAAAGCAATGGTCCTCTAATTCTTTCTGTAAAATTCATTTAAGGAGTTAAAATAGAAAATACATATAGGTATGTGTGTGACTGGCCTTCTCTTACCCTTTCCAGAAATAATCTTTCTACTTCCTAATCCTGAAAGAGAGTATTACCAGCTAATCCTAATTGAGAATGATTTATGTTTTATGCATTTCTGCACTTATTATTTATCTACTATTCTCCTTGCTTCTGTCTCATTGTTATTTTCCTAACTTCTTAAATTGAATACCTAGCTTATTGATTTTCTAACTTTCTTTTTCTTAAAACAAGCATTTAAGACTAGACATTTTTCTTTAATTACCATTTTGGCTGAATCTCACAAGCTTTAAAATGTTGCATTTTCCTTGTTTAGTTATAAATATTTTCTAGTTTTCTTTATGATTTATTTTTTGTTCCATGAGATTTTTAACGCGCTTTAAAATTTCCAAGTATATGGCTGGGTGCAGTGGCTCATGCCTGTAATCCCAGCGCTTTGAGAAGCCAAGGAGGGCGGATCACAAGATCAGGAGTTCGAGACCAGCCTGGCCAACATAGTGAAACCCTATCTCTACTAAAAATACAAAAAATTAGCCAGACTTGGTAGTGGGTGCCTGTAATCCCAGCTACCTGGGAGGCTGAGGTGGAGAATCTCTTGAACCTGGGAGGCGGAGGTTGCAGTGAGCCACGATTGTGCCACTGTACTCCAGCCCGGGCAACGGTGTGAGACTCCATCTCAAAACAAACAAACAAACAAACAAAAAACTTTCCAAGTATATGAGTTTATGTTACGTTTTTGTGATTTTGAACTTAATTGTATTGTGATCATAGAAAGTGGTCTGTATGATTCCAATAATTTGAAAGTTTTTAAGATTTATTTTATGATTACTTTTTGTAAATGTTCTATGTGCTGTAAAATTATGTGTTTTCTCCAAATATGGAGGTCAGAATTCTATATGTGTACTAATATTAGGTCAAGTCGTTAATTTTGTTCAGGTCTTCAATATTCTGTTTGGTTCTTTGCTTGATTTAGGGTTGCTGTGAGGATTAAATGAATATATAGAGAGAGTAATTTTATACTTTTATTGATATACATATCAGAAAACAGTATTTGGCACATAGATATGATTTATAAGTGGCCTATAGCACAGTGGAATAAAGATGTACTTTGGAGTCAAGTTGCTTGGGTTTGAATCTGGGTTCTGCCTTATTAGGTGTGCGACTTTGGTCAAGTTTACTTAACCTCTGTGAGCATCAGTTTCTGAGTCTGTAAAACAGGAATGATAATAGCGTTGTTGTGAAGATTAATTGAGTTCAAACATGTAAAGTTCTTAGTGCCTGGGTGACTTAAATCAGAACCCAGGTGCAGTTGGAGCAGATTTGGGATGGTGGGGACATGGAAATGCCACAAAAACAACAGAAGGGGAAGGGGATGGAGAAAGGTCATAGGGTCATAGAGACAGCAAAGGGTCAGCCATTTTAGGAGAGAAAGAAGGTGAAGGTAGATAGGCATTGTTAGGCTAGACAAAGTGCACAAGAGGCCGGCACTGCCTTACCTTTTGTCATGTACTTGTAGACTGTGAGCTTAGCAGACATCATATTCAGATTCCTAAAACCCCTGCCTCTGACCTATACATTTCCATCCCTTTGGAAAGCTATAAGGAATAGGGGCAATCCAAGGTTATTATTGTGAAAACCATAACTATTTGTATTCAGAAAGAATCCTGCTAGCTCTGCTTCCTGCTTTGTGAGATGAAGCTGAAAATTAAGGACAAGATTCCAGTTCTAGAAGAACCGAGATCTATGGCAGGAAATCAAGTTAAGGAGTCAAGTTTGAGTGTGTGCAGCTGGACAGGCAGGGCAAGATACACAAACCTGGCCACTGAAATCTTTTTATGTTAGAAAGAGCACTGGATGTGGTGCCTGGCTACCAAGGTCAGAGATCACACCATGCCTAGTCAGTCCAAGGAACTTTAACCAATTCAGATAAAATGCTTGATCTGGGTTAAGATGAAAACACACACACATACACACACACACACACACACACATTTCACTCTGCCTAAAATCACACTAAATTTACAATAAAAGTTTTTTTTTTAAGACATAAAACCACAAATATGGGGAGATTAGGAGAGGTGTCAAAAGAAATAAAATTTTGGAAGCTACAAAACATATTGATGACAAGTAACTGATCAAACCAACTCAAGAAACATGAGAATCTTGAGCTGTCAGTGGGGGAAGCTGAAGGCTACCTGATTTATACCTCAGAATTTTCCAGAGACTCCCAAATTGATAGTGTCAGAGCCCTCTGGACCTCGAAGTGAAGGAAGACCATTAAAACAGGAATTCTGTGAGTCCCTGCATCCTTTCTCCTCTCCATGCCACTGGGAAGTGACTGGCATCTGAAAATTCTCTGGACAGGGTAAAATAGATGGTCTTCTCTGAGTTGGAGGAAACTAGATTCACTAAAGATGTGAATACAATCCCAAAAATCAGAAGAATTAAGTAAGTGGTATATCCTGAAGGATGAATGCTGAGGCACTCCCCCCACAAAGCAGTCTTAACCCACTCAGATCTCAGAACGCTGGCGGCCAGTCAGAGCTTAACCTTCCCAGCTGGAGACTCTCTAGCGAGTCTGCCCAGTACCAGGGGAAGATTTTAGATACTGGCTGTAGTAGGCTAAATAAACAAAATGCCATATCCTAATCCATGAGACCTGTGAATATGTTACACAGGAAAGAAAGGAAATGCATTTTGCGGTTGTGATTAAATTAAGGATCTTAAAATGGGGGGCGGGGGGTTCCTGGATTTTCCAGGGGAGCCCAATGTAATCATACAGTCCTTGTAGAGGGAGGTAACAGTATTAGATTCAGAGAGAAAATATGTAAAGATGGAAGTAGGAATCAGAGAAGAGAGAAGTCGCTACACTGCTGGCATTGACCATGAAGGAAGGGGCACAAACCGAGGAGTGTGAGGCCTCTAGTAACTGGAAAAGATAACGAAACAGATTCTCACCTAGATTCTTCTGCATATGGTTAGCCAGCTATCCCAGCAGCATCTATTGAATAGGGTATCCTTTCTGCATTGTTTATTTTTGTCAACTTTGTCAAAGATCAGTTGGTTGTAGGGTTGTGGCTTTATTTCAGGGGTCACTATTCTGGTGCATTGGTCTATGTATCTATTTTTGTACCGGTACTATGATGTTTTATTCATAGTTACTACAGCCTTGTATTACAGTTTGAACTGGCTTTGTTCTTTTTGCCCAGGATTGCTTTGACTATTTGGGCTCTTTTTGGGTTGCATATAAATTTTAAAATAGTTTTTCTAATTTTGTGAAAAATGATGCTGGTTATTTGATAGGAATAGTGTTGAATCTGTAAATTGCTTTGGGCAGTATGGAAATTTTAATAATACTGATTCTCTCAACCTGTGAGCATGGAATGATTTTCCATTTATTTGTGTCATCTATTATTTCTTGCAGCAGTGTTTTGTAGTTTTCCTCACAGACATAGTTCACCTCTTTGGTTAGATGTATTTCCAGGTTATTTGAGTGTGTGTGTGTGTGTGTGTGTGTGTGTGTGTGTGTGTGTGTGTGGCTATTGTAAATAGAATTGCATTCTTGATTTGGTTCTCAGCTTGAATGTTATCAGTGTACAGAAATGCTACTAAATTTTGTACATTGATTTTTGTGTTCTCAGACTTTCCTGGATTTGTTTACCAGGTCTAGGAGCCTTTTGGTGGAATCTTTTGGATTTTCTAGGTATAGATCATATCCTCAGCAAAGAGGGGGGTCATTTAATTTCCTCATTTTCTATTTGGATGCCTTTTATTTCTTTCTCTTGCCTGATTGTTCTGGTTAAGACTTCCATTACTATGCTGAACAGGAGTAGTGAGAGTCGGTACCTTGTTCCAGTTCTTAGGGGGAAAGCTTCCAGCTTTTTCCCATTCAGTGTGATGTTAGCTGTGTGTTTGTCATAGAGGCTCTTACTACTTTAAAGTATGCTCTTTTGATACCTAGTTTGTTGAGGGTTTTTATCATGAAGGGATGTTGGACTTTATTGAATATTTTTTCTGCATCGTTGAGATGATCGTATGGTTTTTCTTTTTAATTCTGCTTATGTGGTAAATTACATTTATTGATTTATATATGTTGAACCTTACATCCCAGGAATAAAGCCCACTTGAAATAACTTTTTGATGTGCTGCTGGATTTGGTTTGCTAGTATTTTGTTGAGGATTTTTGCATCTATGTTCATCAGGGATATTGGAATGTCACTTTCTTTTTTTATTGTTCCTTGATAGATTTTTGGTATCAGGATGACACCGATTTCATAGAATAAGTTAAGGAGGAGTCCCTCTTCCTCAGTTCAGGGCTTTTTTGACTGGTAGGTTTTTAATTACTGCTTCAATTTCATTACTTATTTCTGTTCTATTCAATATTTCTGTTCCTTCCTTGTTCAACTTTGTTCATTCTTCCTTGTTCAATTCCTTGTGTTTCCATAAATTTATTCATTTCCTCTAGTTTATGCAAATAGATATGCTCATAGTAGCTTCTGAAGCTCTTTTGTATTTCTGTGGGATCTATTTTGATGTCACCTTTATTAATTTCTAATTGTGCTTGTTTGGATCTTCTTTCTTTTTTTTTTTTTGTTAATCTAGCTAGTGGTCTACCCTTTCAAAAAACCAACTTTTTATTTTATTGACCCTTAGTATGTTTTTCTAAAGAACAATTTTTTAAAAGATCAATTTGGATGAAACAATCTTGGAGAGAAGAAAACTTTTTTAAAAACTGTTATCAATATTCTTAGAGGGGTAATAAATGATCCTCTGTTCAGGAAGCAATATGAAAATGCTTTAATAAAAGCCCATTCACAGAGTAACACAAAAATAATTCTTGAGATTTAAAAATAAGATAGCATAAATGAGAAACTCAATCAAAAATTCGTGAAATGAAGTCAAGGAATCATCCAGAGACTAAAGCAAAAAGAATAAGAGGT